TTGTCTACGCCACTGCGTCGGAATGGTCAATATTTGATCGTGTGAAATGCTTGATTTTACTGTCATGATCTGTGATTTGTTCTACAGCCGTGAGGCGTGATTGTCGATCAAAAAATGCTCCGTGAAATGGGAATTAAGGATGTCTGGTTCGTGAACTGTGATTTTGATTTGTTTATTCCGATCTATTTTATAATAGTGATAATGGACATAATACGCGATAATAATTTATATGATCGATCTCACTCGATTGCACAAGAGTAGGAACTTCGGAGGCCTTTCGGAGATCGTCGGACGTACTCATCACTCAAACTTGTAAGTAGTTTTTAACTGCCAGGCAGAGAAGAGAACTTAAAGCGTAGTACTGTACCATGCATTAAACATAATCTTAAAGCTATTATTATTATACTATTTTTATTAGAGTCTCGTTATCCGTGAAATGTGAAATTGCTTTTTTATGGCACGTGAATTGTGAAACGGTATTTTTTTGTTGTGAAACGTGAATCATACCCCCCCCCCCCTTTCCCACCCTCATTAATCGATGTCGAATTTACAGAAGTGTGGGACTTTCAGTGTTAAGATTGGGGTTTTTAGGGATACCATTAAGGTAATTTGTGGATAATTGAATTATTGAAGTGAAAGTTGTCAGAACTGGTTTGTATCGGTTTGTATTTTGCATGTATACTTCCGGTATTGTTAACCAAGGCAGAACCGAAACACTCAACAGAAAAAAACTAAGGGAAACTGAATTTTTCTTTCAATATAGAGTATTGCTAATTTAGAATTTTTTTGTGCTCGATATTTTTTTTTGCTGTGTTAGTGATGTTCGATTTTTTTTCTTCCATTCGAGACATGCTCGATATTTTTTTTCGGATTTGCGCCCCCCCCCCCCATGAAAAATCAAATGGTCCGTCCCTTATTTAAGCACGGTTATTTTTTATTTATTTAAGCGAGAGAATATTAAACAAGTATTGAATGAGGTTGAGTATGATATCGAGAATTATCAAGGACGAGGTTTGAGTTATCCCCCGAAGCCGAAGGCTGAAGTGGATAACACAAACCGAGGCCTTGATAATTTTCGATATCATACGAAAACCGAATTAAGTAATTGTTTTATTGTATCGTCAAAAGCTAGAAAGAACGCATAGAACCGCATTTCTGGCGTTTTTTGAAACGAAATGGCTAAGTGAGTGCGTCTAAATTTCCTGAGGCCGGTTGTACGAAGCCCGTTTAGCCTAAACGGTGGTTAAGCTCAAAATAGAAAGCAAGTCTATAAATTCATTAAGCAACAAAACTAAAAGTTTTGAAACTTAATAGAACGATAATGCTTACAACTGCATTATTAATGCATAATCTTTAAGTTAACTGATTCACAAGAGATAGAAGAGTGTTATTTAATTCTGACTTTAACCACCGTTTAAGCTAAACGCAATATTTAACATCTATAGAGGTTTGTAAGTTGTAGACACGTAAAAATCTCACAACTTGTAACAAGTCTGCCAACAAGCCGTGAACAAGTTGTCTTCGCACTGCTTGTTACAAGTTGTCAACAATGGAACAACTTGTGACAAGGTCAATGATATTATCAGACTTGTTACATGAAGGGTTTTTTTTTATTTAAACAATATATAAGCTTTACATTTGTTTCAAAAGCAGCTAGGGCTTATCGAGGAAACTTATGTAATTTAATATGCAACATTTTATTTAAAAGAATTGAAAAGAGAAAAGAAAGAAAAATACAGAACAGTTTGGTAAAAACTAACTATTATGTATTTTTCAATCGTTTATGCACATACAAAATATATAACTTACACACGTATAACATAGATATACAAACACGCATGTATACAAAAAGATATATACATGAAGAAAAACTAAACACACACACACATACATAAAAACTAAAAAGAATACAATTTTGCGATGATTAATGAGAAAACCTATTAGTTTCAGCAATATACGTTTGAACTATTGTAAACAAATGACTATTTGTAGAAAAGGAATTACTTGGAATACCGTTCAACATCCAGTTGAACATGAAGGTTGTTCCAACAAGTCCGTTACTAGACTTGCCCCAAGTCTATGTTTCTTTTCGCTCCACTATAGTGCGAATAACATGACGTAGCTGCCGAGGGGAGGGAGTGAAACATAGACTTGTCAACTCCGGACCGGAAGTAAAGCCGACACAATACTATTCCTATTAAATTTACTGTTCAAAAATGAACAGTGCCGGCGTCTTTGATAGTCAAGTTGGGCCAGTTTAGGAACTTGTGTTTTGAATATGTACATCAAATTACAAGAACCTACATGGGATTTATCTTATATTTAAGCTGGTAAGTGTTTTAGAAATGAAATCCTAAAGTATAGTTTTATTTCGGTCATTTTGCCTCGTGTCTGGAGTTGACAAGTCTATGTTTCGCTCCCTGCCCTCGACAAACATAGACTTGGAGCAAGTCTAGTCTGTTACATGCTTTATACAACATTACTGTTACAACCTTGCGTTGTCAAACTTGTAAACAACCTTGTTGTAGCATGGCTGTAACAAACTTGTCAGAACAGCCTTCGTTGTAACATGCCATCAAGATTGTTACAACTCGTTAACAGCTTGTTCTAAACTTGTCCCAAACTAGGAACAAGCAGTGTGAACATATCTTGTTGACAGCTTGTGAACAGACTTGTAACAACTTGTTTGCAAACTGCTTACAAGCTGCGGTACGTTTTTACGTGTGTACTAAGTAACTTTGCATAACTAAAATTAATGCAACTAAGATCCAATTGTTAGTGTAAAAGACTATATTTTGCAATTAATTGTCATATCTAAAAAAATTTTTATAAAATTTTCTGAAAAAGTTGGGATCCAAAAACATTTCTGGGAACTAGGTTCGCAGGTTCCGATACTTTTTCCACCACACTTTTTCCACGTAACTTTGCCTGATGAACAAAAATATACATGCAGTACGGTATTGTCCGAAAAATTGTCCGTTCACGCAGCCTCCCCAGCTTTTCACCCCAGGTCGTACGCCCAGGACCGGCGCTAGAACGCTAATTGGGGGGGGGGGGGGGGATATT